GGGAGAGTGTGTTGCGTATCAGGTCTCTCTCTTCATAGCTTTCCACCTCATTCCTTGAGGCCAGAGCCTTTCATGAAACCTGAAGGAGACCCATTTTTGAGGTTAACCCATCTTTGGCTAGGCTGGCTGTCCAGCAGGCTCCCAGAATCCTCCTCTCTCATTGCCATGCCTGGAGATTTGAACTCATGTCTTCTTGCACTCACAGTAAATGCTCTTAACCACTGAGCTGTGTCTCTAGTACTGGCAAGGGTTATCCACCTTGTTCGTTAGTGTCTTGAAGAAAGAAAATAATTGGAGCGTTTTACCATATAAAAATAGATATTATTTGGCTACTAGTGAAATAGAAAGTGTTCAGGAATCTCTAAGGATGAAACTCAAGACACAGCTGTAGGTCACAGTGTCAGAGAAAAACATATGGATTTGTTGATCTGTAGTTTCTTCTCTGTGGGCCAATTACAAGTACACTCCACGGCATCGTAAGCCTGCCCAGAGCTGGGATGTGGCAGTGCTCGGAGCAGAGCTGAGTCACCACCCAAGCCATGGCATGGGCCATCTGTGCTCTGCCCCTACCTCTTAGAAAGCTTAAATATGTGCTCAGAGTTTTCCTTTAGCTTTAATTTTAACCTGCCATCTGAGTGATGCCGCGATTGAACTCTTCCCTGTGGCTAGACACTAGGTGGGTGTTGTTCAGTAGCCAGGCCCGGGTTCCACAGTCCTCTTACCTTGGTCCTCTTGGACCAAGAAGACAATCTGAACGGTAGGGGTGACTGTGAAAGGGGCCTTGGCTTTGTTTATACCACTGAACTAGCTGCTTTCTTGATATTGCTGGAAACTTGAATCTCAGAATTCAAACCCTGATGTTTACTTCCGACAGCACATGTGCTCTGTGTGCTAATCCCAAACATATATCCAGTCTGGATAGGTTAGGGACAGCCCTCACTCCTCAACCCCTTTGAGAAGCAACAAGAGAGATGGGTAGGACCATGCCTCTAGTCTGTATTATGAAGAAGCATTTGCACACCATACTGTGGAAAGGAATCTGCTGTGTACATGTTGTTGGTGGCCTAGCATGTACACATCTGATAATTACAATGAAATAGTTACCAAAGCTCTGAAACCATTTTTGATATAGAAATATTGATGTGCTACTGTAGACATACATCCAATAACAGGCTCTAATGATGAGTCTAATCACTGTGATAATGTTCAAGGGCATCGAAGGTACTTGACGAAGGCTTACCACATGGTGAGCATGACTTCACTGTGCTGTGCTGACATTTCCTCCCCGTTGCTTGCCTCCACCATCAAAGGTGGTGCTAAATTTCAGCCAAGTTAGTTTCCTTATCTATCACAGTTTCACTTCTATTGCTGTGATAAAAGTGCCCTGACAAAAAGCAGCTCACAACGCCAGGTCATGGTCTAGCATGGATAGTCATTGTGGCAAGAACCTAAAACACCAAGTCACATCACATCCACATGCTCACTGCTTAGCTCACTTTCTCCATTCTTTTTTGTTTGTTGATCCATTAGTTTTTTTGAGATAGGGTTTCTCTGTATAGCTTTGGCTGTCCTGTACTCGCTTTGTAGACCAGGCTGGCCTGGAACTCACAGAGATCCACCTTCCTCTGCCTCCCTGAGTGCTGGGATTACAGGCATGTGCCACCAAGCCTGGCTACTTTTATAGTTCAGGGCCTAAGCCTAGGGAATGGTGCCACCCAGAGTGGACTGGGTCTTCCCACATCCATTAATGTGATCAAGATAACCCCAACCCTCAACCCCGGGCACATCCACAGACCTTCTTGATCTAGACAATTCCTCACTGAGACTTCTTTCCTAGGTGTTATTGGAGTGTGTCAATCTGATAAATAAAACCAACCATCACACCATCCAAACTTCTGGGCCACAAGGTGTAGGTGTGGCTTAGGGTCTAGCTGCCTCAGCTCTTTCTTGTACAGTCACAGAGGGGAATTGTTTCCTTGACTTAGATGGACTGAGGCTATCCCGTTTATCCATATTCTGTAAAATAAGCCAGAGGGGACACTCAAAGTGGTTTCTAAGGGGGAGCTGGGGACAAGAAAGAGACAAGGAACCAGCTACAAACAGGCAACAGTTGCTTTCTGGAGCACAGAGGTAAAAGGGTCCCCTCTGTGAAGTTGCACTATCTGGGAGATGGGTCTCAGTTGTGTTTTATAGCTTAGGATAAGAGGCATTTTCTGTCTTGCTTTAAAGAAGATCTGAGGCTCACATGTTTTCAAAATTGTCTGTTGCCTTAGCCTGTCCTTTCCTGGCAAGCACACTCCTATCAGGAGGCTTGTCGGCTGGGAGAATGCACTGCCCCACTCTGGCTTCCCATCTTCCCGATGGCTTTATGGACGGTGCTGAAAGTGCACATGTGTGCAAAAAATGCCCAGCACCAGCTCTGGGCGGTGTAACAGTGTTTCACAGCCCTTGGAAATATGAAACAATGTTGCTGTGATTACATGGCTGTGACAGGTTGAGCTACTGCTGAAACACACAGGGAGAAGTAAAACTTTCTCACTGGGGTATGCCAACGCAGAAGCTCAGGCCAGACCCATACAAAAATGCCTTTCTTACAGAGGGTGCATGCCAGGGCTTCCTGGGAAGGGGTGCAAGCTAGGCTCTGTGGCTATACAAAGAAGGCAGACCATCATCCAGTGTCCACTGGGGACGGTCTGTGAAAGAAGCTGTCAGAATGTCATCTGCTTACCAATTTTACTTCTTGTTCCATTTATACTTTCTCCCAGTGCCTTTGCTTCGGAAAATCTAGAGGAAAAAAAAAAGAATGAAGACAAGTTTACTTCTTGCTATTCATCCTGGATTATGTTTGAAAAAATAAGAGATGTCTGAGAGGTTGCTAGAATGTGATGAAGACAAAAGAAAACTGAAAAGAAGCTTAATACGGTAGGCTGACAAAGGAAGACTGAAATCTGTATGATTGCATCTCCTGTGAAATAGAGCAACAATGGCTTAGTGGTTGAGGGCACTCTCTGCACTTCCCCAGAGGACCTGGGTTCAATCCCCAGCACCAGATGGCGGTTCACAACCATCTGTAACTCCAGTCCTAGGGGATGCAACGCCTTCTTCCGGCTTCTAGGAGCACTGCATACACACACACACACACACACACACACACACACACACACACACACACACCAGGGCCAAACACCCATACACACAAAACAATAAAACAAAATAAGTTGTGTTCTTATATTTTTAATGAATGAATTCAATTTCTGATGCTTGCAAGGATACCAGGATGAAGGGTGCTGGTAAGGTTTCTCTACCATGATCTATTCAGCCATGATGCCAACCTCATAGCCAAAGAAAACTCTGAAATAACATATTGACAGACAATGCTGCAGCAGAGGCCATCTACTGACCATCAGTCATGAGACAAATCAGGGCTACTTCCTGGTCCTGTGAATAAAGTTTTATTAGACCGTGTTTACCCATTCATCACCATTCCACCTACGGCGGCTTCTAAGTTACCCCAGCTGAGTGGAGAGGATGTGTCAGGGACTGTATGGCTTGTGGAACAGGAAAATATTACTATTTGACCCTTTACAGACTCCTATTGCAGATGAGTATTAAACCAGATTTTGAAAATACAATTTAAGGGGAAAATAACTTCCAAGTCAGAAATATATATATTAAAAAAAATCATGATATGCAGTGTGTCTAGTGTTTTCTCCAGCCTGTTTTTACAGGGCGAGGTCATAATGTATGCATAAATACACACACATATAGACAGTGTACAGGATTTTATTCCCTGATACTTTTTTTTTCACTTAGTGTTGTAAGTTCTTCCCTATGTCATTCAAAACTCTTACACTCTGTGGGCAAACACTAGTCCATGAGACAGCTGTGCTGGCCCGCAGTCAGCGTGCCCTCTACGCTCACATCTTAAAGTGACATCCATGATGAGCCCGAGCTTGTCCTGGGGAAGTGGTGTAAGATACGACCCATGGAAGGAACAGGTAGCCCTGGAGGGGATACAGGGCATCATACAAGGTGTGGAAGGCATGGTGGCGGGAGGGAGGGTGAGATGGTTGGTCATGGTGTGTCAGATACAGGAAGCCAGAGGGCAGAATGGCGCTGCTTGGCTTTTCATCTTCAATTAGTTCCGGGGCTCCACCCACAGGGCGGGCCCACCAGTCAGTGAGTCTGTCTTCCTCAGGTAAACTTTTCTGGAAATACCCTCAACAGACACAGTCAGCAGTGTGTCTCCTAGGGGATTCCAAGTCCAAAGACATTGATGATGAAGATGAGCTACCACTCCGAGACCTTATAAAACATTAGTCCATCTTTCTGCCATGAAATTAAAGGGGTAGCCAAAACCCTACAAAAAGTAGGACATATTCTGTCTTGGATAACAATAACCACACTGTTTGAGTTGATCTGGGAAGGGGACTATCTATGTGTAGGGTGTAGTCAAGAAAGCTTTGTGTGTGAGTTGGGAGTGACCCGGACTTTGAGGGGTCACAGAATTTTAGAAAACGACTTCTTCTAGAGATTTACAAACACCTATAAAACAGAGAGCACGTTAGGCTAAATCCTCCCATCTTACTGCTCCGTTTTTCTATTGTCTGTATTAGTTCAATGGTCTCTTCTCTCTCTGTCCTCTTCCAACCTCCCCAAACGAATTTCATATGGTTCCAGAGAAGCATAGATACCTTATTGCTTGATGCTTCATGCTTAAAGAGCTGTATCAGATGAATTGAGGAGAGAAAGCAAGGGCCAGCAGGCCACCAGTGCTCCGTGGCTGTTGGGAAAGTGGTGACAATTCTGTCATTGCTGTTCTCTGCATCTGTTTGGCATAAGACCACAAGTGGAGTTCCAGGGAAGAGGACTGAATTTTCCTACAAGGCTGCATGGCTGAGGACACCACCCTGGCTCCCGAATGAAGGTTCCTCATAGGCTATTTATGTCTTCTCAGTGAGAGCCTGTCACCATCCAGGGTCCGGTGCAGAGGCATCTGGCAAAATGCAGGCTTTGTTCAGTCCAGCAGACATTCATGGAAGTGTGGAACAAAGCACTGGACTCTGTGTGTGGTGTGCTTGAATGCTGACCTCCACCAGGCAGCACAGGAGCCTGCTTTATGGGGGAGCTAGGTGCTGGGGTTGTGCTCTGGAAGCAGTAACCATGGACAGTGGAGGCTGAGGGTCATCCTTCCAGCCAACCAACCTACTGGAAGGGGTCCCTGCAGATAGATGTTAGGGGCCTGGACACTGTGGCCAGCTTCCTCACCATAGGAGACAGCTGAGCAGGGTCTGACGTGACTTCTGAGAACGTTCTTGAGGGGATCCTATCTTGCCCTTGGTGTGTGGTAGCTAAAGATATGATCACTCAGCGGGAAGCAGCAGAGGAAGCCCATGCCTGGCTGCCCTACACACAGTTCACTAGCGAACTCAGGCAACAGATGCTCTGACCCAGGGCCAGAGATGGTTTATTCTGGAGCCAAATTTGAGTGACCCTGGTTTGGCAACACCGATTTAAGTGACCCCCAGTTTTATGAAGATGCTTTGTAAACTTTTTTTAATGGTAACAAAACAAAACAAAACAGCTCTAAATCAAGGCATTAAAAAATACATTGATGGAAACACCAGAGAGATGGGTTACGTAGAGACTATGTGATGACAGTCTTAGCCTTTCCTCTGGTGGAGAACAGTCTTTGTTTTCAGTTTCCATAGGTTTATTATTATTATCTGTTTATTAGGAGGAGAGGTCTGACGCAGAGTAATGTCTCTGGTTAGGCTGAAGATTGCTATTCCTTGCAACACTCTAGCTCTCCATATTATTGAAGTTTTAATCTGCCAATTAGCCCTTACAGACGGCTTCTTTTCAGAAATTCACTGTGCATGGAGAGGACAGAGATCCATGTCAAGTGTCTTCCTCAATTACTCTCCACCTTACTTTTTGAGACAGGGTTTCTTACTGAACCTGGGGCTCACAGACTTGGGTATGCTGGCGGCCTGCTGGGCTCCAGTGGTCTGCCCATCTGTGCCTCCGCTGCCGGGGTTACAGAAATCAGCTGCCATGCCAGGCTTTCTGATGTAAGTGCTGGGGACGTGAGCTCAGTTCCCCAAGCCTGTGCAGCAAATACTTTACCTTCTAGGCCATTCTATTGTGATGAAGATCTAGCCTGCATTTCCCTTGCATTTCTTTTACATATCAGTGCTTGTGTGTGTGTGTGTGTGTGTGTGTGTGTGTGTGTGCGCGTGCGCGTGCGTGTGCTCAAAACTCTTGCTGTCCTCTATGGCCTGATGGACTCTCAGGGAGTCTACCACCATCTGTTCTATGCTTCGCAGCAAATCTTAAGCAGTTTCTTTGACTGCTGAGTACTGGAAGCCAATTTCAAATAGGCATTCTCAAACAAAATAGTTTTCTAAGTAGAAGGTTTTTTTTGTGTGTGTGTCTGGTATCGTTTTAAGAAACAGGGGGATGCTGAGAAGGTTCTAATCTAGTCTTTACTCTCAGAGTTTATAATTCTAGCTTAGCAGACAAAGTGTAAATACAAAAATCAAATGGTAAAATAATAAAGGTTAAAATGAAACTCTAATGGGAAGTAGGGAGCTCCTATTTGCTACCGGCAGCATTTCCAGATGGGGCCTGTGATTTCCCCCACCCACTTCTCTGCAGCTCCCAGGCTCCTGTTCCATTCTGTGCTAGAAGGATCCAGCTGAGTGAAGGGGCACTTTTCTTGGTTTAGCTCACATTATTACCGCCTTCCAATCACAGTCCATCTCCCCATTCATTTCCTCTTTTGTTACTTAATGGGGACTCTGTGTCTGGTAGGTTCAGTTTGTAAGAAGGTTTTGCCACAAAAGAAAAGCTCCCCTGTGCTTTGCCTGGGCGCTGATATTTACAGAACACAGGGTCGCCCGCCTCTCTTATCATTATATATTAGAAAGATGAATCATGCCTACAAAATGGAGTGATTATGAATAACAATTGCCTTCCACTAGGGGTAAAAAAAAAATACTCCACTGAAGAATTGGTTCATATGCTGAAGGCCAATGAAGGGCAAATGTCCTATTAATGTGACATCTTATTTCTCTCATCACAGTCAGACAGCTGAACCTCCCCCAAATCCGGTGGCAGCACCCAGGCACACTAGGAAGTCCATGTGCTGAAATGTACAGGTGAACAGCGAATAGACAGCCTCCTGATAGGTGTCAAGGACCACACAGGCCACTCATGTGCCCCCCTGAATCTCCAAGCGGAGAGACTCCCAGAGGGTTCTGGGCTGCCAACAATCCCTCCGGTAGGCATTATTACCTCTCTTGCCATGGGCTAAAGGAGATATGTATGGGGTCAGGTAGCTCCATCTCAACAGGATGACATGCCAGAACCATCAGACCACAGAGTTCCTAGAGGTGAGGCAAGGGCAGGAAGATGGGAGGGCCAGTGGGACCTGGGTGCCGAGGGATGGTAGAGGGGTGAGAGCTGCAGAAGCCCAAGGTAACTAAATGTCAGCCTGTATTCCTCTGACCACTACTTGTGGACGTTTGCGATGGTCCTCCCTGACACTAGGGGGCACTAAAGCAAATTTTTAGGATCCTGAAGGACTCAGGATTACTTGATGATTATTTCTATGTCAGGGCCAAACAGGAAGTCTGTGCATTTGGGGATTTGTGTCTGCTGTTGAAACACTGTTTTTTTGTTGTTCTTTTAGTTTTTTGTTTTTTTTTTTAATAAAAAAATTTTTCTCTGTGGTAGGCAGCTGTTTCTTTTCTGTGTGTGTGTGTGTGTGTGTGTGTGTGTATGAGTGTGTGTGTGCGCACACACACACACACACACACACACACAAACACATGTGTGAATGTAAGGGTCTAGAATCACCCAGGAGACACCCTTCTGGGTATATCTATGAGGATATTTCCAGAGAGAATTAAATGAGAAGGGAAGATTCACTCTCCAAGTTGGCAGCATCTTCCAGCAGGGTTTGAAGACGCCCCAGGGAAAAGCAGCCTGTGTGGCTGCCACCTCCAAGTGTCCACTGATGCTGGACTCCAGCTTCTCCTGCCCTCCCACCTAGACACAACACCAATGACTGTTGGCTCCCCAGGCTGTTGGTGTTGGACTGGGGCTGCTGAGGCTCCTCGCTTTGTTGACTGGCAGCTACTGGATTCTCAGCCTCTTTGGTGTGCAGATGGCCACTGCCGGCCTGCCCAGACTGTATCGGGTAAGCCAATCTAGTCATTCCTCTCTTTGACGTGTATCCACTCCACGGTTGTGTTCCTCCAGAGAACCTGCCTGACACAGCCAGTAATTTCTAACAACTGAGTGGTGCCTGTGGATGAGAATAAAAGTGTGAGTTCAGGGAGAAGGTGAGGTTCCCAGTGGCACCCACAGCCTCTTGGCATGAAGCAGTTCCCTAATGACTACAATTATATTAACATTAAACAGATGTAGCTTATTATTATTTTTTTTAAGAATGGGCCGCCTTTTCATTGGATTTTTAAAAACTGATGTATTGCTGGGAAGATCTCTTCAGAGGAGTGAGTCTTGTTAATTCCTTGGCACAATGGCCAAGGGGAAGATGGGAGCACTGGTAACATTGTCCATCTTGGGCGAACAAAATCTGCTTCCAGTAAAATCCCAGTAGCTGCTCGGGTTATCCGAACTCTACTGGACTGGAGTCAGGGCGGCTTTGTATGGCGAAGCCTGAGAGACCCACACACACTCACCTGATAGGCCATGACCAACTTTCCCATCAGAAACAGAACCAGACTCAGATGCAAGCCCAATGCAGCTAGGAGCCAGGACGATTTCAGAGAATGAGAAAGTAAAGTGTGTCTATCTATCATGTTGGTGGCTTTTAAACTGGGGTACACAGAGCATCGTCAGTCGGTGTGTGCATGCCTGTGCATAATATGTGTGTACGTGTGTGTGTGTGTGTGTGTGAGAGAGAGAGAGAGAGAGAGAGTGTATGTGTGTGCCTGTATGCATATGCAGGTGTGGACCAGAAGGCAAGTCCAGGCATCATTCCTTTAGTGCTGCCCACCTTGTCTTTTGAGATAAGGTCCCACCTCCACAGCTGGCTCCACCTCTACAGCAAGGGGGCGGGGGAGGGGTGAAAGGCACTTGAGTGGCTTAGTCCAGAGTTTTACATGGGTGCTGGCTATGAAATCCAGCACTCATGCTTAAGCAGCAGCCACTCTGTCCACTCTGTCCACTCTGCCCCTGCTTCCATTCCCAGGGTACACTCAGGTCAATCTTTTTGTACAAAGGCCTCCTATTTGGGGTAAATAAATTTGTAATTTTTTGGAACGTGTCCCTTCCTATTTTTGTGCCTTTAAGATCTCTGTCTGTTGTCCTGCAAGCATCTAGTCCATCAACGCCCACAGGACATCCTCATCCACGGACCTTCTGTTGAATTCCCTGTCAACTGCTCAGCTTGGGCTCCTAGACTATGTTCAGCTCCCCCCAGCTATAAGCAGTGCAGCCATGAGAGTTCTCCTTCGGGGCACAGCTGGATAGTTACTCTCACGGTGCTGAGAGGACACAAGGTGCACACGCCTCTTTGGACTAAGAGGGTCTAGCCTGAGATCCAGAGGGCTGGATTGTGTTATGTTACTGGGCTCCTGATGTGCTCTGAGATCTGCGTTAGCCCTGGGAAATGCTTCCTGGCTGACTTTCTCATCCCTCCTTATAGCAGCTGTGTTAAACCTTCATCTTTCTCCTCAGCCTTTTCATCTACCTGAACTCTTAATTTTACTAAAAATATGGAGGACCTAATGTATCTAATCTATACATTAAGAATGTGTGTGTGCGTGTGTACAATTTCATTGTCTTCTATTACTTGTTTGTTTGTTTGTTTGTTTGTTTGTTTTTTGAGGCACTGAACCCGGACCAGACTGGCTGGTCATCAAATCCCAGAGAGCCCCCAAACGTCTCCCCTCCCCCACCTTCCCAGTGCTGGGATCACAGGTGCATGATGCTGGTTGTGACTGGAACTCAGGTCCTCATGCTTGCACAGCTAACACTATCCTCAGTCCCAGCTCCCCAGCCTGTCTTGCTTTCCCCTGGAGATTATGAAGGTATCTGTAAGAGTCCCAGTCTGGTGAGAATTATATACAAAATGAGCATCGTGCAGAGAGTGCTAATGCTGTCAGTAGCAGGCCCCTGACCTTCAAGCAGCTTACCCAAGTGGTCCTGGGACGGTGACGCTCAGACACGAAAGAGAACTGTACCAGGGTGTGCACAGGGAAATGTGAATCCATAGAGACTTTACACCTTTTTTTTTTTTTTTTTTTTTTTTTTTGCAGAAGGACAGGGCAGGAAGCCTCGGGACTGGCCTACCTAAGCCTTAGAAGGAACCAGCTGCGCTCTGACAGTCTTACCTCTGCTTCAGAATCTGTTTGTTGTCATCGATGGTGACACTGTCGGCGTGGTCCCTCTTGAAAATCTCAAAAGCCTCCTGGCGTCCCAGTGACATCCCCTCTCTCATCCCTATTTGGAGACACGGGGGTGGGGGGAGGGGATGGTTTCAGTCACATCATCAGGAAGCCATTAATTTCATTGTCACTTTATTCAGACCACAGAGCTGGCCCTGGCTCCCAGGAGCCCACAGCAGAGAGGCTGTGGCCAGACAGGTGGTGCCTGACTAGAGGCTGTGCCCACAAGTCCACGTGACTCAGGGGGTGGGGGTGGGGCTTGGAGTGCCTGCTCAGAGGAAATGAGAGCCAGGCCTCCAAGCCCCAGATGGTGAGCACATCTGTGAGTTTACTTCCTGCCACCCTTTGGTGGCACAGTTCTTCCTGTTTTCTCCTTATGTCCCATTTTGGATTTTTAAATTTCTCTCTGAATTTCTAGGCATTTAGTAACACAAACTGAAGTCCAGAGCGAAAGCTACAGGATCTAGAAAGTTCTGCCATTAGCGTCTAGTTTCTATTTAATGATTCAGCCTTACTTCCTGTGGCTGGTGAAGAGGGTCCTGCTCCTTACTTGGGCCTTAGCTGGGAGTCAGTAAAATGCTCCAGCCAAAGCCCATGGTGGGAGGTCCCCGGTTTATGTCCAACTTTAACACCCTAATTTGCCACTGCCACTTGCAGGCCAGCCCTCACAGCTTGGCTCTGCTCTCAGCACAAATCCAGAGCCCAGCCACAGAAAGTAGGCCCTTTAGAGGAAACAGGTGGCTTTTCTTTCGCCAGCTTCCCTACTTGGCAGCCTCCAAAGGCAATGGCCAGTGCAGGTGTGCGCCTGACTCCTGAGGAGCAACCTAAGTCACAATAGGCTTTGGATAAATCTGCAAGCTTTTGTCTTTTGAGACAGGGTCTCATGTAGCTCAGGCTGACCTTGAACATGCTACCTAGCCAAGGATGATAATGAACTCCTGATCCTCTTACTTCTACCTCCCAACTATTGGGGTTAGAGGTATGTGCCACTAAACTGGGTTTAAGCACTGCTGGGAAAGGAACCCGGGGCTTAGTGCATGCTAGGCCAGAACTCTTATTTAAAAAAAAATAAATAAAACCCTTCCCTAGGAGGCCCCTTCTCTTCTATTTTTCCAATACCTCCGCTGATCTTTGAAAAGTAAGCCCTAGCCACCTGTTATCTTCAGACTAATGCTTTCCCTGAGCCACACAGAACAGATCCCCTCACCAGGCCCCTGAGCCCACACAGAGCAGCAGATCCCTCCACCAGGCTCCTGAGCTCACACAGAGCAGATCCTCCCCTCACCAGGCTCCTGAGCCACACAGAGCAGATCCCCTCACCAGGCTCCTAAGCCCACACAGAGCAGATCCCCCCCCCCCCCCCCGCCCCCCCCCCTCCCACCCCCCCCCCCCCCACTAGGCTCCCTATCTTCCATCCATGACAGTCAGTCCAGAAGACACTGTGTACATGATACGCCTTTCTAGTGAAACACAAATTCCTCCAGGGCCACAGGTCATATGTTTATCTGACTCCACTGTCTTCTGTTAAAGGTCTGCATCCGGAAGCTACTCAGCCTATGTCTGTTAGTCTGTTAAATTCACAGGGCCAAGACTGAAGTGGGTGGGAGGATGACCCTGTTCTCAGGGCAGCAGGAGTAACAGCCCAGGGCCTTGGGAGATGTACTCTTAGTGGCCTTCATGCAGCATCCCCCTTTCCCTGGAAAGAGCCCCACTATCTCCTATCGTCAGCTTTAGGACTTGGGCAAGCCCATCTGACAGCAATTTCATGATTACTGTGATAAAAATAGCACCATGAGGAATGTCTGAATGGTGACACGGCGATGGGCTTGGCACCCCACCCTCTTTAGTCATGGCTCATTTGTGCCTCCATCTGTCTTACACACTCTTGAATCTGGTGGGAACTAGTTGGTGTGAGACTCACCAAGATCAGCTCCAGTGCACAAGAGATATTTTTGTGGTGCACATCTCTCTGATGGACCCCAGTGGAGCCCAACAGTAGCCAAGGAACACTTTCCCTACCTCTTCTCTGTCTTCAGGCTATGCCCAGTTAGTTGTAATATGGTATGCTTCATGCTGTAGAGTTAGCGCCACAGAGAACACACTGGAACTGTCTGTGAGAGCCTCAGGCTGCCTCCCCTAGAGGAGGCTTTCGCTCCTCAGGTTGTAGCAGGCCCGGGAATGAAGAAGCTTTGGAGCCTGGCCATTTCTCCTCTAGCCCCTGCCTGCCTTCTTTGTTATGGGAACAAAGACTGTAGCACTCTTGAGGCAGTTAAGAACTTGTAATCAGCAGGACAGTCTCTGGATTATCCCTGAGGGGGTTTGTGAGAGGAGGAAGGATAAGGAAGGCATGTCCTTTGAGAATCTAGATGGTTCTGCTATGAAACTTGGAGCCATTGGGGTAACATGGTCACTGTGAATCACGGATGTTCGGAGACTGGATAACTGAAAAGACAGGAGTGTGCCTCAGCTTATCACCAGAAAGATGGCACCAGTGCTCCGATCCTGGGGAACGCATGCTGGGGGGGGGGGGTTTGACTGCAGTGACGAAGGCTGGGTGGGCATTGATGAAAACAGTGGAATAAACTAGCTTTCCAAGTCACGAAGAGAACGGGGTAGCCGACCTCAGTGGCTTCTCTCAAGGGGAATCAAGGCCTGGATTCTGCAGAGACTTTGGAAGACTGTTGCATGGAGCATGTTACCAGAGGTCCATGCTGATGCCTAAGGGATGGACCAGCAGCTGAGGCGTCTGAGCCTCCTTCCCATCCCAGCTCTCCTCCTTCCTGGCTGCCCCTGCCCTTGCTCACAGACTACACTAACCTCTTTTTAGATTATACAGATACATTCAACTCCAGGTCATCCCCCAAAATGAACGAACAACCTTACTCCATTGAAGAGTCATCTCTGCTTTACTATCCCTCTTTGGGTTTAGGAAATAAGCTCTTGCTCCCGTGAGCAGCTCTTGTTAAACACACATCATATGCTTTAGGGAGAGAAGGGAGCAGACTCTGCATTTGAGAGCTCACTTTGTTGAGGGGACAGATATGTATTTATTTCTTCCCTCCAGACGTGTTTGTTTATCTTTGGCATGGCGCTAGGCATGCGACTGGGATGCGAAATTGGACAGGCTTGAAGCTTTGATGGTAATGTTTAAAGTGCTCAGAGTCTAGCCAGGGAGAAGGAAAAGTGAACAAATAATTGTATTGCAGCTTGCACTGAGAGAGAAGCAGGGAAAGGTAAGTGCTTGAGAGAGGGAGTGGCTGCTGGAAGGTTCCAGGTCCCAAGTCGAAGGTCCAACCGACACAGTGTGGATGAATGGAGAAACTGAGCAATGTGGGCGCTGAAGACATTTCTTGTGAATGTTATGCTAAGGAACATAAGGGTAGGTTCACAGCTGGTACCATAGGATGCTGAAATTCAACACTCAGCTCTGTACTAGAGCTCACCATGTCTCTCAGCCCACTGTTGGCTATGAGCCCCAGCTCCCAGAAGCTTTTGCACAAACACAGTTAGGGAGTACTATGGTCTCAGGGGGAGCAAAGAGAAAGCCTGAAGTTTGCTGACAGCTGACAGAGTCTGCAGAGCATAGAACTGACCTGGCCTCCATCCCAGTGTTTTGGAATCAGTTTCCTACTGAGGTCTGAGGCCTTAGGAGTTCTGATCAGCCATGCTCTTAACTGGTGAGCCATCTTTCTAGGCCCTTTCCCTCTTTCTGAATAGTCTCTCCCTTTTGTCATCCTAAATTTGAATCCCTTATTTTGCTACAGAATATAACTCAAAGAGTGTTTGGAAGCTCTCCTGACCTTAACACAAGCTTCTATGGAAACTGAGTGGAAAGAGCACACTGCTGTGGTGGAGAACTTCTTTTGTCCTGGGCCTGCCATCTGATTTCCTTTTGTCTGGGGCATGTGGACTTCAGCTTATTTTCCTGGCTGTTCTCATACAACGTGCTACTGCTGAAGCTATTGCTTCAAAATCCACCAAAGTAAAAGGATGGAGGCCTGTGTTCTGCATGCTGAAAAGTGATTTTGTGCACAGAGAGCCAAAAATATATTTTCTTTGGGAGACATGTCTTTATACATGGCTCTAGTTCTCTGACTGAAGAAGAGAGGGGAAAAAAAGAAGACCAATAGGAAGTGTTGAAAAGCTCAGGGCAGAACAAGGGAGAGAGGGGTTGGCGCTTGGTGCTAGAAAACTTTTGAAATGGAAGGTAACAGAATGGCTCTGATAAACTATATGACTGTGCAAGGATGTCAGGCCACAGGCAGGCATGGAGTTTACCTTTGTGTGGTACCCAATACAAGGTTTAAAATATTTATTTGTATTTTACATGTATGTGTGTGTACTTGACCAGTGCCCACAGAGGCCAGAAGAGGGGCCTGGATCCTCTGGAACTTGAGTTACACGTATGTGTGAGTTGCCACTTAGGTGCTAGGAATCAAACCCAACCCCCCCTAAAAGAAAAGCCAGTTCTCTTAAAAGGTGAGCCATCTTTCCAGCCCCTGATATAAAGCTTTTACAGGCAAGAAAATTTCTCAGTAATTGTGAACTGCATGAAATATAATGTGAATATCTTCTTAAAAACAATTAGAAGGAAGTTCCATTCCTGCATGTGTGCCTAGGTTCCAAGGAATAGACCTGGGAATGGGAAGGAGGACGAGAAGAAGGAGAGGAGACTTAGTCAAGTGTGGAAGCAGAGGTGAGGAAGGGGAGGAGACAATCTGTCAAGATGAAACGTGAGACAAGAAAGTTAGGAGGTTGATGAAGACCCAATGGATGGTTAGTCATTCAACAGTCTCAAGAATCATGCTGTGGAAAGGATGTCCTCAGGGTCATAAAGAGGAAGTGAGGGCCCCAGAGGCTCTGTGGAAAGGGCAAGTCAACAGCTTAGTCCAATGTGGAGAGTAAAGTTGGTGCTCTTGCTGCGCTAAGTGCCCTGGATAGTGGAGGGCTGAGGTCTCCAAGACACAGGGACTGGGCCTGAGGAGACGGCTTATTGGTAAGGTGTGAACAGGAGTTTGGAGCTCCAGCCCCTGCATAAAAGCCAGGAGTAGTAGG